GATGTCAACTTACGAGGAATAACAACTTGCGAACTTGCAAACCTGTCTCGATAATATATGTAAGTCAAGTAAAAATTTGATATCATACCGCTTGATACGGAGCTGACCAAGATATTACAATATTATACAGCTTATGCAATTAGCGTTTTCTGTAGTTAATTAACATGTTTACGTACATGAAATAACAAAACTATCAAAGATTGGAATTTCTTCTCGTGGAATTATAGGATGTTAATAATTGGTTTTAATTTCTCCAACGGAATGCGTAGACAGAAATTGCCATTGTATTCTCTGATCATTAGTTAATGATATATATATATATATATATATATAAATATCAAAAATAATAGTTTTGTCAAGGTGCTATTTATTGCAACGTTTAGGAACTTGTTACGTTCCATCATCAGTAAGAACAAAATATATATATAAATAATAAAAAGAAGGATCCTAAAAAATTAGACAAGGTATTTAGTTACCCTAAAACATATTTTTAAATAAATATGATTATTTTCCTACAATTTTGCTTTTTGAATAAAATAGTTAAACGATTATAACCTTAAAAAACTTAACTATAACAACCTTTAACAAACAAATCTTAACTATATTATCTCGACTCACAATGTAACTTATATCATGTAATGTAAAAATATTTATGAAACAATTAAATATTCGTTTTAATTTTGGTTTGATATAAACCAAATTATAACCATTTTTACGAAAGTAACACATTTTGAGATCTTTTGGTAGATTCTTAAATTGGTCTTAATTCAAATTTTAGGTATAATATACAAAATTTGAAAATCCCTCATTTTAGGATTGAAATTGAATAAAAAATGATTGATACAATTGACATTTGATCGATAAAATTGTTTAAAAATATATTTTAAAAAAAGTTTGAATTTTTAAGACAATTTAGAATTTTTTCCATCACTTCAAGTGTGGAATTTATCTCAAAACTCTTGACCTTATTAGCACCTACCAGGTGGTCATAATTGACCTGTGACAAAACAAATCGTAAAAAAGAAAGTGCAATGAAAAGCTTTTGTATTAAAAGAATGAAAGTATTTTTTTTATATGCCTGATATCATACAAGATAATGTGAATGATTGACGAGGCCTTTTCAACTAGAGATGTCTTTAGCAGAGAGAATTGAAATGTAAATTAAAAATATATTTAGATGAACTGTTCTATCAAAATATTGCAAGGTTAAGATTGAGAGTTGATAAAGAATATTTTTTTGAAAATAAATATTAATAAAAAAAAATATGTTTGATAATTAAAGTTTGCAATATTAAAAATACCAATCAAGGATCGGTTCAACAATTGAACAAAAATAAGTGAAGGTTGTTTTTAACTGAAGTGGAAACTTTGTAGTTTTATGAGCACTGGTGCTCGAAATTTTTCACGTAGTTTTTCAGATAGCAACCCAATGGTTGAAAATTGATAGTCTTATTGCACAAAATTATCTAATATTGTTCATAAATTTTTAATTAGATCCAGCAATTACTAAAATTCGTATATATTAATATAGAAAAACAATTAATTTAATATTATTATCATTTGCTAATAATAATGAAATTATTAATTAAAGTTTTCAAAACCTTCTGAACATTTTGGCTTACCTTAGAAAAAATGGATATATGTACGTGTGTGTGTGTGTGTGCGCGCGTATGTGTGTGTACGGATACAAATTTTTGTCGACGACTTCGGGAACACAGATGAAGCGATTTGAATAATTCGATTCGTATTGATAAGGAGACCTGCTGATTAGATTTTGGCAAAGGCAGGTCTAGCCCTTCCGAAGATATGGGGCAAAAAGTGCCAAAAACGGTAACTCAGTTTTTAGGAGAACGGAGCGTCCGATTTGAATAATTCAAAAAACATTTTACTTGTATTAACAATATGAAGAACTGATCAAATTTTCATGAAGGCAGGTCTAGCGGTTTCGGTGATCTAGTAAAAAAAGTAAAAAAAATGCCATTTGGCAGTCAAAAATGATCATTAGACATATGCACACTAAAAATTTTTTTCACATTCCTATGGGTTCCAAAGCAGTATCGTCTCTATGCAGAAAGCAGTACGATTGCTTTGAAAAAAGTTCAGAATTTCCAGAATATTTCAAAATAAATTTTTCTTTAAAAAGTCTTTTTCAAAAAAAGTAAATTTTTGTCCAAAATTTATAGTTTCTCAAAAATCTAATTTTTTCAGAGTAATTTTTTTTTTTAATAATGTTAATCTTTTTAAAAAAAATAATTTTTGGTACGGGAAGTTCCAGCAATTTGCCTTAAGGCACGATGCCATGCGCCCCACTAGTTTTTATTTAAAACACGACACTAATTTTAATACAGTATTCTATCCTTTTCTAAAAAAAAATTTGTAACAAAAGTTAAATTTTGAAGATATTTACAAAACCTTGAAATAAACTTTTTATCGTAAAGTAAAATTATTCAGCGCTTAAAGAAATGTGATTAAAGAAATGTGCAAACGTTTTTTTTTCAGTGATATCTTATAGACCTAAAAAAATACGATTGTCCATTCAAATAATAAAATAATTGGTTAAATAAAGATTTAATGCATTTATCATTTTCGGGGAATTGTGCTTCAAAAAAAAAAAAAATCTTTGGACTTACTAACCAATCAATTATGGAGCATACAATTATTTTCCATAAAAATAACTTTCCAGCGACTCGTCTTATAGGATATAAAAAATATGTAATTTTGATAGTCTGTTCTAATAATAAAAAAAATAGTTACATAATATTGTAATTGAAAGTAAACGCCTTCAATGAATTAATTTCGCCAATTCCTTCAAGGTCATATATATTTAAAAAAAATATATAATTTCATTCATTATCAAATATATTACGACTTCGAGTAACAAAGAAATTTAGATCCTGCAACTATTTTTAGGTTATTAGAAGACATTTGCAAACGCCATGTGCCTTGTGCAATGTATTGGATGTACAAGCGATTTGCTTGAATAGGAAATTTTAAATTAATATGCATACAACGATACTATTCAGTTTCTAATATATAACATGCAGTTATAAACTATTAATATTTAAAAATATAAACATATTAATAAATTAAAAAATAATTACATTGTACATTTACCATAATTGTGATCAACCTCCTGTATGGCGTGCATTGCAGGTATATGTACTATATCAAGTTTTTCACTATTATTTACCCATTTCACTATTATTTTCTCAAGAAGTTTATTCAACACACATTTACACTGTTAAACTGTGTTATTCGGTTAACACTAATACACACGACCGATTGAAAAATACATACTGACTGCAAAATACCTGCGGCGTCAAAATTATTGAAGCAAATAAATAGGAATTACATAAGATGGGCGATTGACTCATTGCACACTTCTGGGTGCATTTGCTCCAGAGACAAATTGTAACCAATAATAATAGAATATCGACTAATTCTTTATATAATAATCGATAAATATTGACTGATTGTTTGTGAACTTTGTACTTGATGTGACTTTAGAATAAACAATGCTGCCACTAGCCTTACAACAATGTTTGTAGATTAGCCCCACAAAAAAAAATTGCCGCGTTTTTTACTTTGGGGACTAAAAATCAATTGCCAACCTGTATCGATCACAGTATTGAATACAGTCGTATGATGGCTCTGTGGAATATTTAGGCATGCAAGCAAAAGTGGCCATAAGCAAACAATTGCACTGCGGGCAAAACATTTGGAAAAATTTGCAACTAGAAATTTTACTTAGAAATATACCTATTGGATTATTAATTTAAAGTTATATGATTCTAACCATAATATTTTACTATGAGCTGGCGTTTATCCTAGTATTTTTTCTCGAGATGGCAACCCAGTGGTCAACCGCTCTTTTGTTTCATTTGTAGTCTTCGTATATTAGATATGTATAAAATATTAATTGATCCTTGAAAATTATCTGAAATCAATTTATCAAGACGCATTTACTACTGAATTATCTGATACTAATTAAATTAAATAATATTTTGATAAATTATAAAAAGAGTAAAATTATTAAATAATCATTCACACAAGTGGAAAATAAATTTGGCATCCAACAAGCTTAAAAACACGAGAAACAACACTGATAGATTGTTGTTATATTTTGAGTCAGTGGTTTCCAACCTTTTTCGCACCTATAATTGTCGCGCTCTTCTTAATTTTATCAATAATTTTGTTTCATGAATTCTCGACTGATATTATTAGACTACTACAAATTAATATGCAATATCATGTAAAAATATGCATGAAAAATAATTAGTTTTTCGTTCATTTTTTATATCATTTCATATTTTTTGTTTATTTTTGGAAATTGTATTTTGAAAACAGCTGTATGCCCCACTTTGCGTCCCACAGATTGGAAACCACAAACTTAAACTTAAGTTTAAGTAAGAAAACAAAATTTAAAAGACTGATAGTTTGCTGTGATACCTTGAGTCAGGGGTTTCCAACCTTTTACTCACCGCACCTCTTCGTTCTAATAAAATAATAAAATTGTCACACTCTCTTTAATTTTTTCACCAATTACATCTCAATTGATATTACCAGACTATAAATTAATCTGCAATATTAGTAAAACTATGCATAAAAAATAATTATATTATTTTTATAAATATTTTTTCGTTTATTTTTTTATATTATTACATTTTTTTTTGTTTATTTTTGAAAATTGAATTTTGGAAACACCTGTATGCCCCCTTTGCGTCCCACAGATTAAAAACCACTGCCTTAATTTTGCAAAACCAATATTTAAAAATGAGAAAGTAAATTCGAATTTTGTTTATTGTTAAATTTAATTATAATTTTAAAGTGTATAAAAGAAATTTTGACTTAAAGTAAACAATTTTTAATTAAATGTCAATAAAATTTTGCTCTTTTTATCAGATATGATCAAATTAAATGTTAGTATTTTGAAAATATGATTTTAATATGTTATATTTTTTCAGGTACAATAAACAGAAACTTTCACAGAACAAGAAGAGATGCAAACGACGGTAAGATAAAATCCAAACTTCTTAAAAAATTGTGTAAATCTTTAAAAAATGATAACTATTTGTACAAATTGTTTTTTGAATGATTGCTTTGAATGAGTGAACATAGTAACAGCAACAAATTTACAATTGGAAATGACTGAATTTTTAGAAAACTATATAATGGTGATGGAGAAAACTTTAGATAATTTCCTACATTCAAAATTTTACTAGATTTATTAGTAGTTAAAAATGAATCTAAAATTGTGATTGTTGTAATCACTTTACATATACCTTTTTAAATAACATCTTTATACGAATAAAATCTTTGATTTATTAGATAAACAATTTTAGTTTGTAACATTCATTTAATTTCTAATAAAATTTAGTTTTGCAAAATTCACAGCTTTATGAATTTCTGAATAATCTTTAACTTCATAAATTTATAACTAGTATATAAATTTCCGACATAATACATAATTTGACTTTAAATTTATAAAGTATGACGATACATTAAAATTAGTTGTGTGAAATGTCAAATGATGTTGGAGTGATTAGTGTAAAATTGTACAATTGTCGTTGTCAGAAAATTTTGTATATAAAAGTATTATGAATATCTTTATAACTATGTTCATATCAGTGTATTATACCATCAGTAAAGCATGCAATGTATTATTTTATGTATTGAAATTCTAATGTATATGTATGTAGCTTATTTGTACAACAAAAATTTAATCTGATTTGGAATACAGTTTGATCAAATTTTGGGTGAAAAATTATATATATTCAATAAAAAATATTGCTGATGTCTAAATTCTGTTCGCTTTGTCAAAATTTATTTTATACGCTTATACTGTTAACGGTTGCTTAATTTTGTTGTGCGTTTCACTATTTTCTAAAACTTTTATTAATTCTGCTACATATACACTATCTAATAAGTTTGTTATGTATTTGAAAAATAAACTTTTGTATGAGTTTGGTGAATGATGTATGTATCTATATATCTTTTGTAAATAACTAAGATCATTTTATCTTTGTTTCTTGACTTCTGTCTACTTGCCAACTCCAACCTGACCGCTCGGATTATAGATGTGACCACCGTTCTATTGGTGAACAATAACCGAGCGGCACATGGAAGATTCCTCAACGTGAAACCAGACGTCGGTTTATTGACATCGACTGCACGTACCTTCATCCAAGAAGGGGTGACGACACAGTATGCAACACAAGTACTAGGCACAACACTGGACAACGGACGACTATACGCCCAATTGTTGACCAAAAGCTCACGAGTACTTTACGACAACAACGACGCATTACCGTCCCGTTCACATAACGACATCACTTACAAGAAATGGCACATAGACGATGGTCCGCGTGGCGAGGCGGTTCAATTCATAAAAAACACCGATTACATAACACCAGACAAAGCAGGTGCCTATCTCGTATTTCCCACATCCCGCACTCCTAATTCCTCTCCCTATAAATTTGTCGAGAGACAGCATCAGAATGTGGATGCACAACCAATGGAAATAGTCACTGCTTCATATATTCGCGAAGATAAACCATTCCAAGAAACACCCACATTTGAACGCTTAGTACAAGAAAAACCAATAACTTATCGTGAAAGTAAATCGGAATCATTTAGCGTATCTCGAAATGGCCACGAAACGCGCGAAAACGAAGTTGCAGCTGAAATTAATGCTTCCAAGATAAAAGCTGAAGAAACATTACCAACTTATACAGTGCGCAATGAATTCTCTCCGAGTGGATTTTATTATGAAGAACCTTATGTTGGCGCTATTACTGAACGAAATAAGCCAAGCACAGTTTCTGATTCTAAAAGGGGTGGAAAAATGTTATATCGTGGTGGAGTTGCTATACAGCAAGAATTACAAAGTCTCAGTACCGTTACTTATCTCGGATTTGCAGATTTTACAACTATTGTCGGAGATACCGTAATTGTATTTTCACCGCATACAGCTACTAAGCAACCTGATCTTGGGCACGTTACAACAGTTTCTGGAGCAGCTACTGTGCAATCAACAGCATCTGCATCAGTTTCAAATAATAAAAAAACTATATACCAAGACCAAATAAGCGCAACAAAATCTGAAACGGAACATAAAAAAAGTATGGCTTCTGCATTACCTACTTTAAATTTAAATCCAGTCGATGAACGAAAAAGCAAATCTATATCTCACTCTACTCAATTTGAGGAGGAAACTACGGAACAGATAAAACCAATCACAGATATTTCAGATATTGAACATGAAGATATCGAAGCTAAGTCATCAGTTTTAGCTCATGAGCAAAACACGTCCAAATATGAAACAACAACGCTCGAAGAAGAACAGATATTAACCGTGTCCCCAGAAAGTATTGAACCTTCAGAAACAACTACACCTTTAATGCTGTCAACTCCTTCAGATGAAGATATTGCTAAAATATTTGCATCGCTGGCGGCAGCTGCTCAGGCTACTGAACCTTTAAGTTCAAGTTCTAGTCATATAGAAGAACAAAGTACTGAAATTGCAACATCGGTATTGGGCGGTGCTACTACTATATTTTTCGAGGATGACATTATTGCAACACCCACGTTGGATGTTACTAGCACGACAGAAACAACATCTGAAGAACCCTTCAATGAAAATACTAGCACAGAATATTACGAAGAACCGACGACAGAAGGTCTTATTGTGTCACCAGAGTCAGAAGTAAGCGCTCAACAAATTACTACAACAGAAGATATATCTATTCAAAATGAAGTAGTTACCATTGATCAAGAAGACTATATTACTAAATCTATTTCACAAGCAGCAACTACGGAAGTACTGCCAGAATCAAAAGATGTAACTGAAAAAGTCGAACATTCGACAGAATCAATCGAGGAAGAAGAATGCAAAGATAATAAGGTTACACCAACTACAACTTTCAAAACATTTACATACTTAACAACATTTTTCATCCCAGTTGATGCGGAAACAACTACAACTTCTATTAAATCGCATCAAGTAGTTAATACAGAAGTGTCATATATTACAGAACCATGTAATGTTGAAGCTACAACGATTGAAACTCCAATAAGTCCAACATCGGTACAACAAATTGAAAATGAAGCTACTGTAGGAGTTCATGAAACCACAACTGAAAATTATGAAAGCTCCACTGAAGAGGAAGAAATAACAACTCAGTTTGAAGAAATATCTGTAAAAGATAGTGTTCTAACTACAGAAAAGGAATCCTCTACAACAGATGCTACGTTGCCATCTACAATACCCATGGAAGTAGTAACTGAAATGAAACATGTAACAGAATCTACTACGACAGAAGAAACACCGGATGCAGAAGAAGAAATTGAACTTATATTTAAAACTCTTTACACTACCTATACATATTTAACAACATTTTTCCATGAATCAACGTCTAGTGTAAGTAGTAGAAAAGAGGTTGTCACCAATGTAATAACATCAACAGTAGATCAAGCTTTCATACAACAATCAGGTGATATGTTCCAATCTACTTTAAATGCGGCAGAGTCATTTACAGCTGTTGATGTTAACGAAATTAAGCCCACCAGTGTGGGAATTGGAAGACCAACGGCTACCTACGACATCGTCGATAGCGATTTATCTTATGAAGACGAATCTTCGGACATAGATGTAATACACACCGCCACACCAGCGTTAAATGAAATTCAATTGTTAGAAACAGCTCAAGCCGTTAAAACATACTATACTACATACACATATTTCACGACTATATTTGTAGATGGAGAGACTGAAATTTCTAGTCGGACTGAAGTATATACAAACTACGTTACTCCTGCAATTGATGCAACAAGCCTGCGAGATGTGATTGAAAAACCTTTAAGCACAAATAGCGAATTAACTGTACACGCAGAAGATAACGATGTTACTCAACAAACAATTAATGCATACGATAGTACTATTACAAGAAATAAAATAATCGATTCATCAAATTATGAATATAATATAGCGAACGGTGATGAACAAAATGAAGTCACCCCAGATACAGCAACAATATCGTATAGCACGTTATCTCGAAACAACAATATAGACGATATAAATATTTTACAACTTGAAGACGGACAAACCATATCTACAATGGTTACTGATGTTCGAAGCAGCAGTTCGAATGGAGAAAGCCGAATAATAGATAATGTTGACAAAAGAAATATATTATTAGATGATCAAATTAGTTCGGAAAGTAATACGGATGAAATATTGCCATCCCCAACTTTATTATTGCAGACTAGTTTTACAACATTTACGTACTTCACTACAATGTACATAGGCAGCACTTCTAGCAACGTAGTAAGTAGATTAGAAACAATAACAAATGTTGTAACTGAGACACTTACGCCAACAAGAACCTTGAGCATTGAAGACTCCAGTTTACCAGTAACATACTTCACAACGTTTACGTATTGGACAACATTATACAAAGACGGTTCAACTACAATTACAAGCAGAGAAGAAACTATATCAAACATAGTAACTCCTGTTATTAATATAGAAGAGACTATATCACCCAAGAGCTTGCAAACACTGTCTATTGAAAGTACTCCCACTATTTTAGATGAACCAGTTTTAGCAACGGATGATGCCTATGAACCAACCACATTTTATACAACTTACACATATTTCACAACTTCTTACATTGGAGATAGTACCATACTAAATAGCAGACTAGAAACGATAACTAACATTGTTAACCATACTGATGCTACTGGACGTGCAATTGCAATAAATCCACCAAGTAAAAATACAATCGATAATAATAATATAAAGCCTGACAAAACTGCTGCACCTGAAAGTACTGCGTCATTTGCTACAGGGTTACTTTCTACAATCCTAAGTAGTGATATAAATAATGGCATTGTAACACTATTATCAACTGATGTATATGGCACTTACATCGATGGTCTCTACGCAAAAGTTTTAGAGAGTACGACACAAATTTTAACTCCAACACCATCCATATCTAGTGAGACTCTAGCTTTGAGTCCAACAGGAGTTGTTTCTATCAACGAAGGAAAAATTGTCGATGCTGACGGAATTAGTACCACCTTCTATACAACGAAGGCATTGGGCACATATATAGATAATTTATATGCTCAGGTTATTGAAAGCACATCATCAATTAAAATAGACGAAGAAAAGAAATCTGAATTGCCATTCAGTACAGAAGCATCAACAAAAATACACAAAACTGGATTGGTAAGATTGATTGAGGGATCTATAGTGCAAAATCAAACTACTACTGTATACCAATCTAAAGTTATCGGAACTGTAATAGATGGTAGATATGCGCAAATCATTGAAAGTACTTCAAGTTTCTTAAGCAATAAAATCAAACCAACTGTAACAGGAATAGAAGCTACTTCCACAAAAGCTCCTGATCAACTTATTAAAGCAACAGCATCTATCCTCAGCCCATCACCCGTAGCTGTAGAAGCTTCATTAAGCGATAGTTACCAAACTGACAGCAACGATGAAGAAGGTGAAGGTGAAGAAGGTGACGAAGATGAGGAAGGTGGAAATAGTCGAGTTAAATCACGTTTGACATTCTCCACAAAGAAACGTACTTTCACACCTGTGATTAGATCATTTGCCTCTAGAAACAGACCTGCATTCAATCCAAAAAGGAAAGGTTTAGGAGCTACGAGCGCAAATACAGTTACAAGATCGGATTTAACTCCAACTGTTACGGCAACGCCGGCTTTGAAAGGAAGGTTCAGTAGTAGCAGAAGAACAGGTTCCTCGGGTATCAACAATAGTGCATCAGTAAATCCATCAGCTGGTGGGTCAAGACGATTTTCAAGACCGCGAAATAGCGCGGCAGTTACAGGATCAGCTTTTGGTAATGGAAACAAACTTAGAGGTTCCTCAGCAAGAATTCAGCCCACGGCATCAACTAACTTTGGAGCCAGCTCAAGAAGAGGAGGGTTTAGAAGTTCGGCCCGTCCAGGCAATGAAATTAAATTGACTAGCTCAGCTGGTACAGGAAGCTCAAGATTTCGCGTAAGACCCACACTTGCTTCTGGTTTATTAAGAAATCCAAGTTCAAATACCTATACAACCCAAACTACAGATAGCACGGAAGAAGAGTTCGAATCAGCAACTGCGGCAACAAACGATCCCACTAATTTTACTGACGATGATCAAGATAATCTAACTTCTTCAATAGCAACAACTACTGAAAGTACAACACGAAGAAATCAGAACCCACTATTACGATTCCGTAGACCACCACTCTCACGTCCAGCAGGAGTTAGTGCTTCTACATCCAAACCCGCTGCTAACGGTGGAAAAAGAAATGGAAATTTACAGAAAAATAAAGCAACTACAACAACACCAAAACCAAAAGCAAGATCGGGATCATTCAATAGACCCTCACCGGCACTACAAAATAGAGCTAGACCTGCCAATAACTTATTTCCCCCGCGTGGTTTATTTAGACCAAGAACACCCCCACCACAAGAAATAGAAGATGAAGAAAATAAAGATCAAGAAGAACAAGAACTCTCTGATGATGACATAGAAAATGAAAGCGATGATGATAACGATTACGACAGCTCGAATACTGAAAGTAAAACTGAAACAGTACCAGACAATTACTCCAAAAGAAAAAGTTTGAAAACAACACCAAATATAAAACCATTTGTGAGTTTTAAACGCCGAACAAAACGTGATGCAGCAGATTATAGCAGTAGAAGCAATTTTTCATCAAGATTCAGAAGACCTCAACCCAAAGCTGAAGAAAAAGTTGATGTAGAGGAGAATGAAGAATTTGTTGAAACAAAACCTAAAAGCTCACGTTATACACCAAGACCGAGAACATCTGGTTCGCAAATATCAACTAATAGAGTACGTCCTACACCAGCATCCGCTAATAATGGAAGATCACAATTTACTTTAAGAGATAAAGATTCAAGTTTATCAAATCGTTCAAATTTCAAACGCCCAAGCACATCGAATACGTCCCTTAGAAGAAAAACATCGTCTACAGCAACAAGACCAAAGGCGCCCAGATTACGTAACTATAGTAGCCAAACTGATGCACCAGCTTACACAAGATCAAACAGTAGAAGTCGAACGACCACATCAAACCGTCGCCCAACCTCGCGTCCAAGAAGCAGAGTTTCGGATAATTCATACGATAATAATTACATTGCGCCCAGTTTTGATGGTACTATTACAGTTACCCACCACATACCGACTGAGGTAACTATACCTATTGTAAACGGAAAAGTAACAGAGTATAAAAATATAGTTACAGCTAAATTGAGTACAGAAGTGTTGGGTCCTAAACAATATAGTACGGTTGTCGGCAAAGATGGTAATCCAGTAACAATACTTAGAAGCGAAGTTACTGGTAATGGAGGTAACGAGATTACTCACTTTTATTTACAAGAAACACCAACTACAAGTGTCATATTTACCCCAACAGTTATCAGAGGAAGAAAAACGTCATACTCGCATGTAATTCCCAGTACAGTTTATGATGTTGAACCTGTAGTGTCTACAATACAACCACAAATATCAGCAAATGCGCCACTTGCAAATATATTGTTATCTCAATTGCTATTAGGAAACTTTGGTTTGCCACAACAAAATATAAATCCATTGATTGGAAACTTACAAAATCAAATGCCCACAACCCCAACAACAGAGTTCAAAACGAGATCAACAACGTATGTGACTACCGTAACCGGAGCTATGTCGACTGTAATTCCATTAACTTTCCGTGGCAAAGAAATTTTAACTACAATTGTAGATAGTTCAGTAGATGTAATAACTGCAACTGAATTCATAACCGATACGATTATCGTAACTCCAACACAAGGAGTGAATGGTGGAAACCAGTTAAATAGTTTACTGCTGCCTTTATTGCTCCAACAACAAAACCAACCCCAAAATCCAGTGTTAGGACAAATTGATAATAAAAATTTTGATGCACAATTGTTATTCCAAGAAGACACGTTTGACGAATCGCGCTCTCGTGGCAATTTCAGACATAGGAATATCGAAAACGAATCATTAAATGATGAAATACCGTTTGAAGAAAATACTAGTAGGCCAAAAACGCATAGGAAAAAGCCACAACCCCGGCCACAAAAAGAACCTGAAGTAGCTCCAGCGCCACCAGAACCTGAAACAAGTGTAATAACTCTGTATGTTTCGGGAAGAAGACCAGGAGAATTCAGCACAGTTTTATCAACCGTGACAGTGGGAGAAGGCAGCACATTAAGAAAACGTGCTGCAGAATATGTTGAAGTTCAAGCCTCAAAACTCCCCTCTTTTGCTCCTTCAGATAATGAATTTTATGATTATTATCTAATGCCTGCAACAAATGAAATTAACCAAGAATTTGAAATTAATAAAGATGAAACACAAAGCCTAGAAAGTATTATTGGGGATGTCAGTAAATATATCGATCTACAGACACCTGCACTTGGCTCATATTCAACAAAATATTTACAATCTACGAAAAAACTTAATAGAAAACCTGTCGCAGTTACCGATGGGATTTCTTCATCGAACAATGAAAAAAATCATTTTTTAGCGTAACTGGCCTTTCTGAGCTAGCCCCGCTCATGCCAAAGGTCGAAACGGAATATAATCTAATCAGGGGCAAAAATAACCAAAATCAAATAATACTAAATTTAACTCAAAATTACGTTTCGAATCCCGTTGGCAAAATAAATAACAAAAATGATACAAATTTAAGTAAAAATATTCTAAGTCATTCTTTTAAGCGAACAAAAAGAAATATTGATTCTAACGAAGAAGAACCGGAAAAATCTGATTCACCTATTAAACATCGTAGAAAAATAAAAATTATTAGAAGACGCCCAAAATTTATTGATATCGCAAATCAAAGCTTAGATAACTCGATTATCATTAACAGAGAAATTGAACTATGGGATGATCATAGAACACGTGTAATAGTTACCAAAAAACGTAGATTAAATATCAATATACATACACCGACTGCAACAACTAATCGTCGAAGGGTTATTGTAACTAAGAAACGACTTTTAGGAACACATTCTAATTCATTTTCAAACGTTAATGATAATTCCGATTTAATAGATACGGACGAACCAGAACCCTCAACGGTGCTGCCTACTGAAACATTTAGTACCATTACTGATAATTTCTATTTCATCACACCGGATACACATTTTAATATTGAAGAACAAACACTACAATATTTTTCTGAAATTAATCCATCTGAATCATTTGAATATTCAGAAGAAACTACAGATTATTCTCCTGAATCAATCAAAAGCCTACGAGAGTCTCATCAGTACACTTTAGAGACTTCGCAATATTCACCCGACGATTTTCAATATCCGTCAGAGATTTATGACGATGTCCTAGAGACATCTGAATATTTACCAGAAACATTTGAAATCTTTACGGGAACTGCGGGTTATTTTTCTGAGTCTACAGAAAATTTGCCTGATAACTTTGATACAGTATCGGATACTATAACATATTTACCTAAAACTTATGAAATATCTGATACGCCAGAATATGCACCAAGTGCAGTGACAGATTTACATCACAGTACTTCAATAATAACAGAACTCCCTAATTCCTCTTCCCATCATTATGTAACTACCAAAAGTTATGAAACTCCAGTACTTGAGCCTGTCTCCAATTCTATTGAACAATTACCAACACAACCAACTGATATTCCTAATAAAAATATCCTTAAACAAAGCGTATACTTAGGTGACAAAGACATTTCAGAAATTATAAACACTGAACATATTCCTTCATACGAGATATATACAACCTTGCTTAGTGAAACGGTAACAAGTGCTTATATTAAAAATAAAACCTATACTTATGTTGTAACAAGGGTACATGAAAATGAGCAACTAATAACTTCCACGACATCTGTGAAAGCTGCTGTAAAAACTGAAGTGCTGACGTTGACGCATACGCTGACATTGACAAAACCAATTACCTTCTCCGATGGTCCTACTCTCTCCGACACAAACTCTGAAGGTGAGTTTCAGTACTTTAACTACAAGCAAAGCATTACGATAATCAACAACTTTGTTGATGTATCAACCAATAATATGCTAGCTTGTAACTGCCTAACACAAAACCTAGATTGTAAAAAGTCCACTCAATTTTTATCCTCGTTTTCCAGTTATTAAGCTATGGCATAATGTGACTTGGTACCTGTTTTCTAAATCTAAATCAACATAGTAGTTTATTTTCAAAATTCTAATTATGTACATATATTGATCTTCACAAGCATCTTTTCATAAAACAGATATTTTCATTTAAAAATGTATATTATTTAACATAAACTCATTGTAAAAATTATCATTTATGACAAACTTCAAAATCAATTAAATTTTCTGCATGTATACAATTACTTTATTAATATTTTATATATGATTAGATTATTTAAATCGTCTGCGATCACTTGATGCCATATCAGGATTTGAAGATACTGCCAGGTATAACATTGCCACCAGGGTAATGTCAAATGGTGTCGAAGTAATCGTTGCCGGAGATAAAAGTGTAGATACGGAAATTTCAAAAGACGCCCTACCGCGTGGCGTTGACTCCAGCGTAAGTCAAATTAATTCAAATTACAATTTTCAAAAACAGGAAAAATGTTAACAATATTTTTATTACAGGGCGATGATATATCATTAGTTCAACCTAACCAATTCATCACTAAAACTTTGCTTACTACGTACACATACTTGACAACGTATTTGCAAGGTGGAACGACAACAGTTTCCAGTCACGAACGTATTATTGCAAATACTGCAACAGAAGAAAGAAATGTTGGAAAAATTATGCCCACTCCAACTATTGGTATTACACTAACTGAGGTAAGTCTAGTTTTCTGTTAAATATTTTCAAACGATAATATTAGTTATTCAGCATTCAGCAATATGAATATATTTTTAGAATCCAAACTTGGCCGTCGGTGTATTTCATACAACTTATACATATCTGAACACTATTCACGATGGTGGAGTACCACTCACAGAATCTACCACTCATACCGTCGCAAATACTGTTACTGCACCCGACGATTACTTGTCATTACTGCAACCTTCCGAACCTACTACTGCCGTTTTAGATACGAATACGTATTACAGTACAGTAGCACTAACAAAAACGTTAACTGAAGGAAATTCACAAAAAATAGTTAGCAGTGTTAATACAGTAACACAAGTAGTCATAACTGAATCAACACCACCCAGAGGTATGTCAGTAATGACGTCTTACATTGCATTAGATGTTGAAGATCTAGAACCATCAGCTGTAGCGTCGATAGCAACAACCGACGTGGTCAAAACCCATTATGTAACTTACACGTATTATAACACATACTTGGAACATGGAAAAACGGTCGTTCGAACAAATGTATCTACGTCAACAGATGTCGTGACGGAAAAATTGTACCTGCATTTAAAACGAACACAAACCGATACAACTACCCAAAAACCTATTAAAACAAATACAATTGAGAAATGAAACGTTGCAAGATAAAGAAGTACAAGTATTGCAACTAAAACCTATTTGACGACATTCACTTACTTCACAACCTTGCTAAAAAGTGCACCAAATGATCAAACGACAACTGTTATAAACTCGCATACACGCGTAGTTGAGAATGTCGTAGTAGAACCTAGCATCAACAAATCAACCCAAATCAACAAAGTTGTTATTACGCAAAAGCCAGAAATAAGCACTTCTATTCAATCAAGTAAAGTGAAAGTAAAGTCAAAAGAAAAGGTTACTCAAACAAAAAGTATAATACCTACTTCTTCTTCTAGTAAAGTTTTACAAACAAGCTCTTCTAGTTCCGATTCCAACGTAATCACGGGTTCGACAATATATTTTTTTTGATGATGACGAAGTAGCAGCTACGCCGGTAATGGAAATGCTAACAAAAACGTTATGATGAAAGCGATATAATTTTTTTAAAAAGTAAAACATTCAATTTTAAATGGCCGAACTCAAATTCTAAGACAATTGTTAATATTTTGGCAT